TAAACTCTGACTTGAACGAGTTGAGGGCCGCAGTAAATGGAACAAAGAACGATATTGCCAAACTGAAGAGATCTTTTACATCGGTGAGGATTTCATTGTTTCTTATGAATAGGGCTACTTTCTTTATTCACCAACTATCACGTGGTATATAGTGAGTAGCTATAGCCAATCAGATTACTCACACTTGTGATAGAGTGCTAAGAAGACGAATAGATTTCTTTTAGACCAAGTAAAGAGGAAGACGACCGAAAACTACCGTAAGTGTAACTTTCTACCGAAAAGAAAAAAAAAATACGCTGAGCGAAGTTTTGCTTTGTATCTTTACCTTCGTGTTAGGTTGAAAACATCAACTCTGATTTGGATTCTTTGAAGGTTGCAATCGATGGAACAAAGAGCGACCTGACCGCAAAATTGAATAGGACTGTATCAATGGTAAATATTCTATTGTTTGTTACTTAATGGGTTCTAGATATGTCATTTGATAATAATCAATTTCCTATGTTTTAAGGGTTACAAGGAATAAACTTAGACTTTTCAAGTTTTTTTTTGTAGAGTCTGTCGCTCTTTAATTTGTTGAAAAAACCCTGTTTTAAGTTGAACAGCATTTTTCCTCACCCTTTTCAGGTTAATTTACTCTTAATTTCGCTCATTTTCTCACGGAGTAAATAGTACGTGGCCCAGCTAATCAGATGATAGCATTTGTGATAAAACGCTTGGGACGCTCGTAGAGTTTTCTAATACCAAAGATGAGAAAGATGGCCGAAGACTTTTAAAACTGTAAGTTCCTGCCTGAATAAAAATTTAAAAAAAAAAAAAAAAAAAAAAACCAACAATGCTGAACGAGTAAGGGGTTAGTTTCTAAAGAAACCGTGGTACTGCTTCGGTCGGAGTAACAAGGTAATTTTGGTTTTATCAACTGAGTTGATATCATTGTAAACTGGCAATCGTCGAGAGAATCGAAGTTGACGTTTCGAGAGTCAGAGCGAAAAACGAAGGAATAATTCTGGAAACGTCAGCTTTAAAATTTTGTAGTGCTGAACGAAGTTATGCTTTGTATCTTCATCTTCATATTTTAGATTGAAAACTTCAACTCTGATTTGAACGAAATGAAGGCGGCAGTGGATGTAACAAAGAAAGACCTCGCCAAATTGAATACGACTATAACAAAGGTAAAGATGTTATTGTTTCTTGATTAATACTCTGTAGAGATTAATTTTAAAACTAATCATTTTTCCATGTTCAAGGGTTAGAAATATTAAGTTGACAATTTCTGTCATGTATTTTTTCATTATGCTAGGTTGAAAACCTCAACTCTGATTTGATTGATGTGAAGGCTGCATTCGATGGAACGAAAAACGACTTTGCCAAACTGAACAGTACTATTGTAACGGTAAGATCTCATTGATATTGATACAACGAATAATGTAGGTTCTTTAATAAAGACCACATTCCAGGCTTTCCTCCGTGTTCAAGATATTACCCCATTGGCTCTTATCGCGCCATTAGAATGGTCCTGTCTAAACCCAGAAATTTCATCAAGTTTATCTTTATCTCTGTTTTTATTAGCAACATTCATACGAGCTGACCCAGTTAAGCTGCAAGCTGGTTTGAATGCGGGCATGCGAAGCAAAATGGCAAAATCTTTTATTCAAACTGCCAATTGCCAATTTGGCAAAAAACCTAGCAAAAACAATTAAAAAAACCAGAAAATTGATAAAAAAGTGCATGAGTGTCGCAAATGAGCGTNATAACAAAGGTAAAGATGTTATTGTTTCTTGATTAATACTCTGTAGAAATTTATTTTAAAACTAGTCATTTTTCTATCGTCAAGGGTTAGAAATATTAAGTTGACAATTTCTGTTATGTATTTTTTCATTATGCTAGGTTGAAAACCTCAACTCTGATTTGATTGATGTGAAGGCTGCATTCGATGGAACGAAAAACGACCTTGCCAAACTGAACAGTACTATTGTAACGGTGAAGATCTCATTGATATCAATACAACGAATAATGTAGGTACTTTAATAAAGACCCCATTCCAGGCTTTCCTCCGTGTCTAAGATATTACCCCATTGGCTCTCATCGCGCCATTAGAATGGACCTGTCTAAACCCAGAAATTTCATCAAGTTTATCTTTATCTCTATTTTTATTAGCAACATTTATACGAGCTGACCCAGTTAAGCTGCAAGCTGGTTTGAATGCGGGCATGCGAAGCAAAATGGCAAAATCTTTTATTCAAACTGCCAATTGCCAATTTGGCAAAAAACCTAGCAAAAACAATTAAAAAAACCAGAAAATTGATAAAAAAGTGCATGAGTGTCGCAAATGAGCGTGCTTTCTCGCCCATCGCTCCTGCTTTACTAAAACAATTACGAAAAGTTTCCACAGGATAAAAATAAAAATTGCATATCATGACTCTCAACATTCGCTCTGACGAAGGGCTAACGCTCGAAACGTCAGCTTTTGAACACCTTACGGTGGCCAATTTCCATTTCAACTTAGTTGATATGACCAAATTACCTTCTTCTACTATGTCCGATTTGATCACACAATTGAAACCAACGGGGACTCTTTTAAAGAAGATTCATCAATAGCTTTTAAACATGAGTCTCTCTGATCAGAAAGAGGTTACTTTTAATGAAATTCTGATCAATCATGTTTGTGTCCGCTTGGGAACCTCAACTTGCCA